AACAAATGAATTCGTGGGAAAAAAAAAAAAAAAAACAGTGAGCCAAACATCGGGTATATGTTTGACATTGCGCCGCTTTGTGTGGGTTCGGATAACTCCCGAGTTTCCCGCTTCCTATGGGCGAAATCGTTTGTCTCACCTATTGTCCGATTGAAAAACAAGAGAAAGAAACACTCACGGTGCCGATGGCCGTGCCAACACCGGAGGCCAAGAGCAGAGTCCGGCGGCCCATGCGATCGACAACTACGGGCGTGACCGCCGAGGCGCCGACCTGGACGACACCGATGATGATGGTCGAGATGGCCGGGGGCAGGGAGGAGCCGGTGTCCTTGAATATAGTCTGGGCGTAGAAGAGCACGACGTTTATGCCGGTGAGCTGCTGGAAACTCACCGCCGCGCAGGTGTACAGCAAAGCCTTGAAGTTCGCCTTGACCGTGAACAGGTCGCTCAGCTTGACTTCCGTGCTGTAGGCTTGGTCGACTGCCACCTATATATGTGGACCACAACGCCGGTCGACGGGTATACAGGTTAGTGCGACTATATTATACTGCTTCTACAAATTACGCGTGGGGTCCACCTGAGACTCATCGCTTCGTTGTCCAAATATATTAAATCTTCTCTATTTTGAGGCTGTATAGAAGCTACTTTTAATTTTTAATTACATTAAAAAAAAAAAAAAAAAAAAAACAAATCAATCACAAATCGTTAAAAGTAAAATTAAAGGGAAATATTTTTTTTATCCCGTTGGAGTCGCAAAGTATAAAAATGTCTACTCGATGTACGTGTACATTTTGCGATTGAATGTTTGTTCGGTATTCAATTTGGACCGGTGAGAGACAAAACCTCGATTCCCTCGTCTCTGCACCGAGAGAAATAAATAATCAAGATTATAGAGAAATTCTAGAGTCAGATGCAAGCTAGTAAAAAAAGAAAAAAAAATTATTGTCATAAAAGTTAAAATTACCGTTCGAAAAGTAAAAAATACGGTTAAAATAGTAAAAATTACTATGATGCTGAAAAGTAAAATTTATCAACCGATCCTTTTAAGGTTTACTATTTCAGCATGAAAATTGTTAAAAATAGTAACTATTTCCTTTTTAGTAATTTCTCTACAATCATTAATTTTTTTTCTCTCAATGTGGTGCATGTATATAAGGGTGTGGAAAACCTCGCGACTCTCACCTGCATGTCCCCGAGCTCCTTTTGCACGGCGCTGGTGCTCTTGCCCCTCAGTCTGGCGAGCGAGTCCGTAGCCTCGGACTTTTTGCCCTCGCTCAGCAGGTAGTAGGGCGACTCGGGCATAAACGTGAACACGACGAAAAACACGACCGGCAGGACAGCACACGTGATCCAGAATATCGTGTAGGTCACGTACGGGCCGATCGCGTAGGCGTACAATAGGCCCACTGTAACGAACAACTGCAGGAACGAGCCCAGCACACCTCGGATGCTGGTCTGCAAAAAAAAAAAAAAAAACAAATCTATCGGGCACAGAGTAACACTGTGGAGAGAGTAATTAATGTGGGTGTCCTCCGATGTACTCACCTCGGCGATTTCGCCGCAGTACATGGGCACGATGGTAAAGCTGATGGAGAGCGCGATGCCAAAGATAAAACGAGCAATGTAGAGCTGGGCGATGCTGCTGGCCGTGGCGACTAGCGCCCAACCGATCAGGTACGGCACGACGCTGAACAGCAGCGACTTTTTCCTCCCGAACCTTTAGCACGAGATATCGTATTGTACCCTCGAGTGTAGAGAGAAAAAAAAAAAAGAGGATGGAATCAAGAGCTCACTTTTCGCCCAAGAAACCGGCGACCAAGCTGCCGGCCACGGCTCCGAGGGCCATTATGGAACCGATCCAGGAACTCTCGTCCTTGGTTATTGGAATCCCCAGGGGGTTGTCGGGCTGGACTATTTCCTTCTCGAGGTTCGCGGTCACGGGACTCGTCCAGCCCATCATGGCACCGCCGGCCAGGATTACCAGATTAGCTGTCGGGGGAAAACCAAATTATAATATGTCTACGAGTATTGGGTCATTGTTTGATATATCTATACTTGTAGGGCTGTACTGTTGATCAAACATGTAAATACGCTTCGAGTGTAACGTTCATGTGGAAATTTTTTTTTTTTTTTGTTTTCGTTCGGGCTGTTAATTTGTTATGCTTTTCAGGTGGCTGACGCAAACGCAACAATTTTTCACTGATGTCTATCGAGACGTGATGCACATTAGTGGGGTTTTGACGAGTGTTTCCTCAATTTTTTTTTTTTTTTTTTTNTTTTTTTTTTTTTTTTTCATGCATAAAATGAGATTAGTGATGAAAAATGTATGCACCCATTTTTATGAGAATACCAAAAACGGAACATAACGTTATTCGAGATATAATAAATTAAAGGAATACAATGGGATGCGAGGGTGAAAGAAAAATTCAACAGCATAATATGTTATTATGACAGTTGCGCAAGAGACAAAAAAAATGATAAACGCAATTAATCGATTAATCGAATCACCAAGCAATTACCAAAGGATCATAATAGAGCTAATTGATTGGAAATCATATCGGCGGGCGAACACTCGCGGCGCAACAACAAACAAATGTGATTCTGTTTTCTGTCACATACTTAATATATGGACACTAAAAAACGTTGCACAATTGACAATCAGCTCGTCCGACAAACTATTTTTTTTTTTTCTTTCCTCGTGTTGTTCGCAAAGTATCAACGTTATCTGCTATGGTTAACGTAATCATATGTTTTTGTTTACGCAACGAATTCGCCAATCGGAGTAGGTGCACGAAAGTTGTTTTTTCTTCTCGCGCGGATAAATAATCGAAGCGCGGACCGCGTTATTTATCAATAACCAAAGTAAATGTTTGAGCTGTGTCATGCTCGCGTAATAATACACGATAGAACCCGCGTGAGGAAACGTACTCTTACATTTTTCGTTTTTTTTTTTTTTTTTGCATCGGACCAACAAAATAAATTCCATCGATTTCACCAGCCACAAAAGAAAAGTAGCCCGAAAGCAATCCGCCTTGTGGGGGGAAAAAAAATCCGAGCACATGAGATCTCTCAATTTGCTATGAAAGAACAAATCTGGAAATCAAGAGGGGGGGAAAAAAAGAATCGATTTACGAGGTTCTTATCGACGATCCCAGGAAGGAGGAAGCTTTCCGATAAATCCAATCGGCGAGCCGTGATGCGATGCGTCCGAACCGGTGATACCTCCCTTTTTTTTTTATTGTGAAAGCTCGAGGCGCCGCTTACCCCACCACCACCGCTTTTCTCGCGGGAATACGATTTTTTACTTTGAACGAGATTTTTTTTTTTTCCCTCTCTTTTCTTAAGTACGGAAATGTACTCTCTGCGCTAGTACAAAAGAAATATTGGCATTGAAAGTTGTGCCGCTCTCGTTTACCAATAGTCATTTCGATGGGCAATTCATTGCATCGTGTGTAATCGAACAATAAAATCGTAATCCACGGATAAAAATGTAATAAGCGCAGCAATCGTGGGCGTTTAGCGGTATCTCGGCTCGTCTGTCACTTGCCGAGCCTTACCAGATGGCTCGAAAGAGAGTGCGGACAAAAAACCAATCTCGCGTACCCTTCGACCGACAAATACGAGCTTTCATGCGTTGTAATTGGTCGAGTGCGAGTTCCTCGAGTTGCTTACGATTACACGCATCAGCCATTCATGTTAACTCTAGTTGAGTGTGCACGTTCGAATCGGCTCGTACATCCGTACTATGGGCTAATTTGAAAACAATCCACGCTTGGACGCTCTCGGCGTAGAGGCGCGAAAATATTTCAATTGTGTATTTCAATAGTGACGTCTGTATAGACATTTATATGTGCGTAAAGCTGATAACTCCAAATCCGCGTTGTCGACCGATCGCGTGAAAAAATCGGCAACACGACACAAAATCGCGAACCGATTATTCATCATCGGCATGATCTATCGACATAGAAGCCCGGCTTGTGATGATTTATGCTTGTTAGCATACGTTAAACCTCTCGTGTATGCATATATACGATTGTGAAATGCAATGAAATTACGAAATCGGTATCATTCTCAAAGTCTTTTTTGTTGCGTTACGTGCACATTCGAGTCACAAAATCGTACAATTACATTTTTGGTTGTAGGTTTCTGTCGTTCTACAAAATATCGAAGATTTTTTTTTTATTCAATCTTGGCTTTGTTTTGTCTCGCGTGAATCAGAACGAGTCACGTGCGGCGCGCTCTCGAGAGACCCCCGTTGAGTTTAGCATCGGGGGGAAAAAAAAGTCTTGTATTTAGGCCGAAAGAGAGACAAGTACGTGATTTGTTGTACAGCACGTGAATGATTTCTTTTTTTTGTAACTCTATGATGTGACTGCCAATCGAAACAAGTGGAGTAAGTATTACAAAATAACAACAAGCATAGCGCCAATTAAATTACCGATATACACTCAATACAAGCTGTGAGTATACTAGATACCGCGTAAATTTAACAAAGTGCAATTTAAAATAACTAGTCGATGAGGTGTACAGTGTAGTACACACGCGTATGGTGGAGGATAACAAAGACGAAAATAAAAGGAAATCACGAGTCGTTCAAGCCTTGCACGTGCCGGGGATCGGTTAACCTGCGCCGATCGAACTTTTTGCATATTGTGTCAGTGTTAATTTATATAAATACTTTATGTTGAAATTTTTCCCACTAATAATATTTGAACCGTACGTTAAATTTACCAGTCCGAAGAGAAAAACGAAGAAAAGTCCAATGCAATTACGAGTGGAAGGTATAAGTAATTGGAAATAAATTTCTGAAATAGTTGGATGAGGAGGAAGATCGGCACTGGAAAAGTTAATGAAAAGTTCCCGATGGACGGAAGAGAGCGAGGCCATCCGACGTTTTTGTCTCTCGCTTCCGTTTCTCCGTCACACCGTAAGCTTGTACTATATATATTCTTCTCCACGAGGCTCTCTTTGTGCGTTGCTGTATAGGTACACTCGAATGGAGAATAACATATATATATATTTGATTTACGAATTATGGCTCAAGGGTTCAAACGTACATTAATTTTGTAGTTGGCACTATTTTAACATCACAACGTTGCTAAACTCGCGTGGCGGGGAACTTCCTTACAAAAATCTTACAGCAAACCTATAACTGTAGACTGATATTGTACGTCAATTAAAATGTCAAACAGATGATTACACATCTTTAACTTACGTCTCGAATTATTTGCAAACAGAGCGATAAGGTTGCCTCTATGATCGCTTATTACGTGCCAGCGGTAATTTGTTCGAGTGAATTAAAGGGGGGAGGGGGGGGGGGGAATAATCCGTGTATAGTATCGAGGAGCGTGGTAAATGTTAATGGCGCAGTTAACTTATTAGTGGCGTTGTAAATTAATACAGTTACGTCGGGTGTGATTTTTTTTCTTTTTTACTATTTCGAGATACGATATTACGTCTGTTCGAGCGCGTGTCGCGTGTCTTTGCGTCGTCGGAGACACTATTTTATTTTCTTCAAAACAAAATTTATGAGACTCGTTGCATGAATAATCCCATTAATATTGTCGTTTACCCATAGTGGGCTGGTTGGTGCAGATTACATAGCAAAGGAGAGTTCGGTACTTTCTCTCTACACCTTGTCTCCCCACGAGGTAAAATGGGTAACAACGATAATTTAGGAAGTCAGCCCTGTATATTATATATGATGTTAAATCAGATAACTGTCGTTAGTGAAGGTCACTTTTTTTCAGTAGAATCACAACAAATGAATATTTATTGGCCTTCGGAACAAAGTTTCATGACATACTTATACAACTCTGAATTTCGAATGTGTAACAAGGCTATGTGTTATGTCGTACCAAAACAAAAAAAAAAAAGAATCCAAAATTTGCATTTTAATTTTGCACCTAATCCCACGTACAGCTAAAAAAGATATATAAATTTAGTACGGTAGTTGAATATCATTCAGAAATTTTACGACTACGAAACAATAGGTAATAATTTTTCCATTTTTATTTTTTATTTTTTTTTTTATGATGATGTTGATATTAATTAACTGTAGTCATGCGAAGTATACTGTCGCATAAGTAAATTTAGTGGCACACTAAAATTTTCGGTCCTCTTGTTGAAGTTTATACGTAACTCCAAGTGTGTAACTGTCGAAAAATCATTGATGTTACAACATGTAACTTAGTAATAACTTATATGTTAACTTGGGAGCAAAATTTAACCATCAATCAACATCATCCNAATTATTAATTACATTAAAAAAAAAAAAAAAAAAAAAAAAAAACTACGAAAGACGTTTAAGACATTTATAAAAACGTTCTATAATTTTTTGTAATTTTTCCAAATTTTTTAACGGACGCTTTGATTCGTGCTTTCTTTTCATCACCATGTGGATGATATATCTACTACTGTTAGGAAAACTAAAATTTTATATTTTATATTCATGCTTTGCTCGTTCCAAAAACTTAGAAATAAGATATTCTACATCGGATTAACATGTATCATCATAAATTATCGGCTATCGATTGATTACCGATATTCAAAATAATTCAATTTCTGAAGATTATACTAATCAGTATAATATTATACAATTTTACAATTTATACTTTGCATTGCGATAGAAAAATGTTCTTAGAACAATTAATTTTACAGTCATGAAAATTGCTAAATATTTAATGTAAACATTAAAGTTAAATATTATTAAAATTTTCTAATAAGTCCCGTATGAAAATGTTATCTGATAAGGTACCTTCAGGCACCAAAATAATCGTGCTAAAGTCAATGAAATTTGCATAACAATCGACAGTCAAACTATTCAGATATCGCCTGGCGTCATATATTATCAGTTTAATGGGAAGCACTTTTGATGATCACAGATTAATTTTAGTTTTATTTCACATCCAGTTAACAATAAAAAAATTATTTTTTTTTTTCTAAAAGGATACGAATATTTGCGCACACTAAAATTTTCGGTCCTCTTG